AGTTGAGAATTTAGAGGGTTAAAATGTTGTGGGGTTGTTAACCAATGTCATAAAACAGCATGTGTGTTACTGTTACATGAGAAACTGTCTGTTCTGTAAGCCTTCACCTGAAGTACAATAAAATATTTAAAAAAAAAAAACAAACCCCAAACCTGTTGCCTTTGAGTCAATTCCGACTCATGGAGACCCCATGTGCTACAGAGCAGAACTGCTCCATAGGGTTTTCTTGGCTGTAATCTTTACGGAAGCACATCACCAAGCCATTGTTCCATGGTGCCACTGGGTGGGTTGAAACTGACAACCTTTAGGTTAGCAGCCGATTACAAACAGCTTGTGCCTCCCAGGGACCCAAATCCATAAGTTCTGCTGGTGAAAACTGGTAGAGTTTCTCGCCTCCAGTTAGCAAATGAAAGAGACTTTTAAAAAGTCCAACCCGAGGTTCCTTCTGGAAACTCCTGCCAAAGCAAACCGAAGAAGGCTTGCTGACGCTATGTAAATAACCAGAGCGAATCCAGTGAGAAGCCCCAAGAATAATTCTTCTTTCAGATGGATTTTCAGTTAAAGGAATATGCTCCTTCATCCTCCATGAAAAAGTCAGCTTTGCCTTCATTTGCATGTTCGTTTCGATATTCCTAATATTCCTATAAGGAGCCCTGGTGGCACAACGGTTAAGTGCTCGGCAGCTGTTGGAACCCACCAGTGGCTCCACAGCAGAAAAAACCTTACGATCTGCTCCCATAAAGATTACAGTTTAGAAAACCCTATGCGGCAGTTCTACTCTGCTGAACGTCTCAGCAATCCCTCGTTAATAATGAGCTAAATAAAATCTTCAATGCATGTTCATTTTACATCAGTATAAGCATCACAATTTCCTCTTTCTTTGAAAGTCATCCTCTAACACACCTGTCACTCTTATGTGCCCCAGTCTGGCATTCCAGCCCCAGATTTTACTGTTGGCCCACTGGGTGGTGTCTTAGTCATCTAGTGCTGCTACAACAGAAATACCGCAAGTGGATGGCTTTAACAAAGAGAAGTTTATTTCTTCACAGTAAAGTAGGCTAGAAGTCCAAATTCAGGGTGTCAGCTCCAGGGGAAGGCTTTCTCTCTCTGTCAGCCTTCTCATCAATGTTCCTCTGGACTAGGAGCTTCTCTGTGCAGGGGCCCAGGGTCCAAAGGACGCACGCTCTGCTCCCGGCACTGCTTTCTTGATGGTATGAGGTCCCCCTGTCTCTCTGCTCACTTCTCTCTTTTATATCTCAAGAGATTGCCTCAGGACACAATCCAGTCTTATAGATTGAGTCCTGCCTTACTAACGCAACTGCCACCCATCCTCCCTCACTAACATCATAGAGGTAGGATTTACAACATATAGGAAAATCACACAATACCGGGAATCAAGGCCCAGCCAAATTGATGCACACATTTTTGGGGGGACATAATTCAATCCGTGACAGGTGGCCACGCAAACCCGCCATCTTTGCCTGCCTGGGTTTGCACACACTGTTCTTGCCTGCGATGCCCTGATTTCCTTCCCCAGTGAACACATTGTTCAACACTGTCCGTACGAGGTTCTGCTTCATCCTCTGGGATCCTCTAGCCCCAGTTCCCACCCTCTGGCTCAGCCATGACCATGTGGGGTTGAAAGTGTCTCACAGGCCTTAATATCACCTGGTGTGGGTTCAGCACAAAGCGGGTAGCTAGGGACGTTTGTTGAATTGATGAATAAACTTTCTGCCTGACGGATTCCTTCGAAACTCCAGCCCCAATGCCCTACTTCCTTAGGCAGAGTCCTCACTGTCTCTCTGAATTCCTCCAGCCCTGAGCCCCTCTTTCTGGCCCATCCCTGACCCCAACGGACTCGGGATGTCTGTCTGACTCTACATCCCTTGGACTGGGGGCTCCTCAGGGACCGGGCCCAGGGTTGAGGCCTCTCAGGGGCCCCGACACTGCATAGGCCCAGGGGGAAATTTACTGACTTGTCAAATGACTCATAACATCCAGAAAAGTTTATTTAAGGAGTTTCCATTTAGCACCATTCTCAGAGGGGCAAGATTCTTGATCTTAGGGTGGGATTCTGAGTCAGGGCTTCATGGGATGTGCAGAAGTTATCCAGGGGCCAAGAGCTGGCAGTCGAAAAAATGGAGGCAGCTGGGTTTTTACGGCCGTCACTGGAAACAGACTTCCCTCTGGGACCTGGTCCCAATTTGGCAGACATCTGGCTTCTCACCCTGGAGGGGACAGCTGTGAGTTGGGGTCCTGGAAGGAGACTCACCCCCTACCCACCGAATCCCACTGCTCCCCGCCCAGCTTACCTGGTACAAATGGCAAACGAGGCTCAGGAGCTCATCCTGTTCACTCATGGGCTTCTGCACAAAGCAAGACAGGTTAGGGTGAGGGTCAGGGTCAGAATCCCACCTGCCCCAACCCATGCACCCTAGTTCTGGCCCCAAAGGGGCTGCAAATGGTCCCTAGACTGATCCCTGCCTCCCAGCCCAAGCGGCGCCTCCATCACTGCAGTCTCCATCCAAGAACCGAGCTGAGGGCTACAGGGCTCTTACCCCATTGACGACGACCCAGGGCACGTATTTGTGGGGTGGCTGCAGAGCGTCTGTCAGCTGGGCGTTGACGTGCATGAGCTGTGTGCCGCGGTCCCCCATTGCGCACTCTGTGATGGTGTCTGAGGACACCTCCGGGGCATAGATCTGCAGGCACTGCGGGTGCAGGAGGGTGGATAAGTGGGGTGTTGCTTCAGCTTCCTCCCTGTTATCTCCCTAACGGTCCCCCACTGGTCCCCCAGCCAAGGGAAGAAGGGACAGTTGGCCCTACAGCATGCAAGAATGCCCATAAACAGTGGGTGTTTAAAATACACACTTGAATGTAGGCCCTCGAGGCACAGGTGCAGGCTGCTCTCCTCCCCATCCCTTTTGCCCTCTGCCCTAAGACCAGACCTGCAGCCCTTGACTTTCCTCAGAGCTGCCGTATATGCTGTTCCCTCCACCAAGAACATCCTTTCTCCTCCTTCTCCAGCATCTCCTGAAGTTCCCTCTCCTCAAGAGCCCCCTTCTCCTCTGGACTCCCCCAGCCCCATTCTGACCCCACAGGGTTGGAGGTGTCTTAAGGTGAGGCCTCTTGGGTAGCCCAGGTTATTATTATTTTTTTTACATTTTATTGTGGTGAAAAGCAAACAGCCTGGGTGTCTGATGAATGAATAAATGATTGGGACAGATAAGTCACTCCTTTGGGAGTTATTGTTCACAATCTCTGGGGGAAGTAGGCAGCCCTGTCCTATCATCTCCCTGTGCCATGGGAGGTCCCCCATCTGTGTCCCTGCAAACTCCTATTCATCCTTCTAAGCCCAGCTCAGAAGGCCCTCCTCCAGGAAGCCCTCTCTAATACACTTATGCTCCCAGGAGACCATCATACTCTGATTCCCTTTGAGAGACAGAGGCTTTGAGGGGGGAGGTTATTTTCCTAGGGCTACATAGCAGGTGGCATTCAGAGCAGGATTTGAACCCCAGGTCTGCTGTGGTCCCTGGCTTCTCCCTGCTCCTAGTGCAGACAGAGGAACGTGCTCACCGGCTTCAGGTTTTTTTCCATGTCATCCATTTCCTCCATGCAGACGATGGTTAGAAAGGCTGTGGTCTTCTCCAGCTTGTCCAGCAGGCAGGCCTGGGGGGTGAGGGCAGGCAAGGGCTGGAGAGGGGCCCAGAACAGCCCAAGGCCCTCTGGAAACCATCACCAGCACTTACTACTGACTGGGTGAATGGTGGCAGGATTGAATGGAGGCCCACAAGGCAGAGGACAAAGCCAGTTCCAATGCCCACCCCTGTAGCCACTCACCTCCACCTTGTTGAGCAAGCACTCACGCTCCCCATGCTGGCACGTGAACTCCCACTTGCCGCTGACATTTTGTTCCTGCAAAGCAGTGGGGTGAGAGGTGACCAGCCAGATGGGCGCACATGCCTCCCTCCCGCATGCCTTGATTTCCCCAGTGCCCATGCACCTGGGCATTCCCGTAGGGCACCAAAGTGATGTTGAGGATCTCCTGGACCATCAGCCATGTGGGGAAGAGCTCTCGGACCAGGAATCCCCGGCAGCCACCACACAGTGACTCATAGTAGAGGCTGACGTTGACGGGCAGGGCACTCGAATTCTTGATGGGCGCCCGCGGACACAGGATGCCAGCCTACAGGGAGCAGGGGGTGTGAAGTGGCGCAGCTGTGGGAGGCTCCAGTCATCTCTGAGCCCACTTGGTTCCCACACAGAAAGGGAGCTACAAAGATTCGGTGCTCCATCTCATACTCCTTCCAGACATAGCCCAGGGGAACCTTAGCTCTGAGGTTTTGCTGTGTCCCCGCCACAAAAATATCCAAACCTGTTGCTGCAGAGTTGATTCCAACTCATGGTGACCCCACGTGTTACAGAGTAGAACTGCTCGATAGGGTTTTCTCGGCTGTAATCTTTATGGAAGCAGATGATTCGCAGGTCTTTCTTTTGGGGTGCTGCTGGGTAGGTTCAAACTGCCAGCCTTTAGGTTAGTAGTCCAGCACAAACTGTTTGTGCCACCCAGGGACTTACTATGCCCCCAAACCTCCCTAAATCTCAGTTCTTCTGCAAAACAAGTGGGACACAGACTTGCAAACAGTAGACACTTAATGAATGCACAGCCCTTGATTTCCACCAGGCACCCTAGCAACAGGAGGGAGCAGAAACTCCTCGGTCTGAGGGGCTGCATGCAGTAAATGCGCATACACATTTCTGGTCGCCATCCTCAACCCTGCCTTTTTGAAAGTGCATACCACAGGAACCTAACGTATGCACATCTCTGTCACTTCACCTCCAGAGCCTTGGTGAGCTAGCTTCTTGTTTACTCCTGCTCCCAAGGGGCCCACGTGAACCCCTCCCAAGCCCGACTGCCCAGAGGCGGCACCTAATAGGTGCTGACTTCCACTTAGGCAGGGGGATGGCAGACAGCTGGTGTTTATGCCGGCCGTGAGCAAGTCCCTGGGACTATGAGGCGTTTGCTTGCGCCGCAGCAGAAACTGCGAGGAGCCCTCCCTGGCCGGAAGGCACACAGTAAGCGCCTCCTGCATGCAGGTGGTCTGGGGTAGGCCGCTTAGCTTGTCTGGGCTTCCCCTGGACCACAAGGGGGAGGCGCCGTCAGCTCCTGCCCCAGTACACAATAAGGGCTCAATGTAGTCTCAGGCTGGGCGGGCAGAGCCGGCAGGGGAACAGGACGAGGAAGTGAAACGACTCCCAGAGGGTGTGGGCACAGCGCAGGGGGAGGGATTGAATGGGGGGGGGAGGTCTGTAGGCACCGGACGCGGCAGCAGGATGGCCTGTGGCGCGTCCCCTCGGGCCCTGGGTCTCCTCGGGGGAGTTCGGGAGCGGGGAGGCACCGCCTGCCTCCGACTGGGCACAGTCCCCGCCGGCCCGCCCGCCGCGTCGCCATCCTTACCTTGCAGGTGGTCGCCACCTCGTGGAGCGCCCTCGGCGGGGACGCGCGCGCCGCCGCGGGGCCCTGTAGTAGCAGCAACAGCGCCAGGAACGGCAGAAGCCGGGCCAAGACCATCGCGGCGGGGACGCGGGGTGAAAGAGCGGCCGCCCCGAGGGCAAGAGTCCTCTGAATCCGGCCGAGGCCCGGCCCTCCGGACGGCCCATCCCTCAGTGCCCCCGCCTCCGGGTTCCCGCCTCCCGGCGCCCCACCCCTCAGCATCCTGGGCTGCGTCGTTCGTCGCCGCGTCTTCTTTTCGCTGCTGTCTCCCCTCCCCTGGTCCTGACCCCCCTCCCTCGCCCCTTCTTCTCCCCCGGACCTCTCTGGCCTCTCCCCCTTTACTGGCTCGGACCCCCTGGCCCCTCTGGGAACCATCACCTGCGCTCACTTTCCAGCGCGGCTCCCGCCCCACGCCCGTCGGGTGCCAGGGCCCCAGGTCACGCGCCGTCGAGTCGCTTTTCGCCCCCCGCCCCCCGCCCCCCGGGGAATTAGCTCTTCCCAGTCATGAGACGCTAGGGGCTTGAGCCCCTTGAGCAGATGTAGGGTGGAGACTTCAGGGACTGGGAGAGACAGACCGAGAGAGATGGAGGAGTGGTCTCCTCAGCCCATGGCCAGAGTGGGGGCCCGCCCCTAATCCGGGGACCCTGTGCTTTTACAGTCCGTTTCTCTCCTTCTACCCTGGCCCAGACACCCCTCGCCGTCCCCCTCCCCTGCCCTCGGACCTCCTTCGCCTTCCCCCTCCCAGGCTCCGCAGCCCTGACCTCTCCACCTGCCACCGCGGTCCCGGTCCCGAGGGGCTGACTCAGGCTTGGCTGCAGCTGGGCCAGAAAGCAGAAGCCAGTGCGGGGAGAGTCACCTCCCTTGGCTAGGGACGCCCCACCTCGGGTTGGGGAAGAGGAGGAGGGCTGGGGAGTACTCCATTCCACCCCAAGGCCTGGGGGGACATGAGGCATTGCCCTAGCTGTGCGATATCTATTCTAAGCGGGAGGGGTGAGGGGGTAGGATGCAGACCCATGGAGTCAACCAGGTCCAGGTTTGACTCGAGCCTCTGCTGGGGGACCTCAGGCAAGGGAAGGAGCCTCAGCTTCCTCTTCTGTAAAATGGTGAGAAGAGTGAGGTTTGGGAGCTAAAGCGGCCCCGGAGGGCTGAGGCAGGGGGAGAGTTGCCCAGGCTGGGGATGGGGGTGGGCCTTGTGAGAGGGGGAAGGGCTTGGACACAGGCCTGCAGGGCAGGCAAGAGAACAGTCCAGAGAAAGGCCTGGAGGCAGGTGTGTTGGGGGAATAGCTGAGACCTTCAGATTTTTGCAGGTCTTAAAGGCCAGGGGAGCCCTGATGGCACAGTGGTTAAGAGTTCAGTTGCTGGACTAAACCAAAGCTAAGAAGTTTCCTGAATACATCCAAACACTTCGAGGGACAGAGTAGCAGGGGCAGGGGTCTGGGAACCATGCTTTCAGGGGACATCTAGGTCAATTGGCATAACAAAGTTTTTTAAGAAAACGTTCTGCATCCCACTTAGGTGAGTGGCGTCTGGGATCTTAAAAGCTAGTGAGAGACCATCTAAGATGCATCAATTGGTCCCAACCCACGTGGAGTAAAGGAGAATGAAGAACACCAAAGACACAAGGAAAGTATTAGCCCAAGAGACAGAAAGGGCCACATAAACCAGAGACTTCATCAGCCTG